TCAACCTCTCTGATTCTCAGTTTCCTCCTTTGTAAAATTAAACATACACACACACACACACACACACACACACACACACACACATCCTTCCTTGCAGGAGCTCTGAAAAAGAGAGCAGGTTAAGACCAGGAATCAGAGCCAGTCCTGCATGGCTCTTGGGGGAAAATCAGGCTGCTCGGCCACTCAGGACTGTGACAGTGAGCATGATGAGGTGACAGGGTGGTTTGTAGGGCATTCGCAACCCCAGCACCCTCACCCTGAAACACTGCTCTCCTTCATTCCTCCCCAGGGAGCCGAGAGAGCCCCAAAGCCCAACTGCGTTCTCTTTGGACGGAGATGGGGGTGCCAGGCTCGGTGCTGGTCCACGATGTCATCCCCTGTGGGTGTAAGTGTGGTATCCCTTGATCTTCCACCCTGGCAGGCTGCCTGCACTCAACAGGGAGCCCTGCAGCCCTGTTCGCTGTCTGAGGACCCTCTACAAAGGCAGGTTATTTTCAGCCTCCCCTGAGCCCTTGTCCTGAGTGAACGGAGCCATGGTTTCGGGATGTGGACCAGGAAGGGTTTTAAGGCCTCTCCCTCTGCCAGAAAGACACTTAGAGTCGGCAACACGGACAGCGCATCCCCTCTCTCGGGGTTACTTTGTACCAGCTTTCGATTCCCAGAAAAGACTGTGTGAAACCCCGAAGCCCTAATCAATGCAACACAAGGCTCGCCCTCTGCCCCATTTTGAGATGGCAGATAAATGCAGGGTAGATGGCAGGTGAGCTCAGCCCCCCTACCAATTTCAGGTGGGGACCCACGGGGATGTTTTTATTAACAATGAATGAAGCAGAGAAGAGAGGCTTGCCTGAGGTCCCCTAGCAGCAGGGACAAAGCCAAGTGTGTCAGGAGAGAGGGCTCCTGGAGGAACACTGGACACTGCAAAGCTGGGCTCACACTCACAGTCTCCTAGGAGCAAAGTCCTTGTCACACTTGAGATGAGTGACAGGGACTCTGTTTCCTCTTAGAGACTGGAGCCCACCTGTCTCTCACTCCCCGCGCAGACGTGGTATGAGTCCCACCCACCCACCTCCCCCAGCTTACTTTTGCTGGGCAGCTCCTCTTGGCTCAGGCCGTTGGAAGGAGCCAGTGGGGCACTCTCACCCTCGTCCAAGGTCAGGATGAGCGGCACATCGTCATCTAAGCTCACGGCCATGTTCCCCGGTCCTGCAGTCCTCAGGATGCGATAGCCAGGGCTTTTAAGGGTCTCCAGCTTGAGCTCCTGTTCAAAGCCACGGGGCCAGGGATGCTTCTCTGCTCCATCAGATGCATCTTCTAGGGTTGGGAGGATTTTAAAAAAGGTAATGATTAAAACATAGTCGTTCCTGATGTGTTCTGGAGTCGGGGGCAGTGACGGCTGAGCAACCAGAGGCCAGGCTAAAAACCCTGAATTTTGGCTTTTGTCACAGTAACCTACAGTATACAAACTGCGCTTTGAGAGTCTCATGTAGCCCATGTTGGTTTCTAGCTTGCTGTAAAGTGGAGGATGACTTTGAGCTTTTGATCCTCCTGCCTCCACTGGGATTACAAATGTGTACCACAAATGGTTTAGAGAACTGGGGACTGAAACCAGGCCTGTGTGTAGGCTAGACACTGGGCTATCCGCTGAGCCACAGCCCACACCACCACTGTATTTCAACCTAAGAACTAGGATTCCAACACCCGGGAGGCTGAAGCAGGAGGATAACAGAGTTCAAGGCCAGGTTGGACTAAATAGCAAGAGTCTATCTTAAAAGAGAGAGTGTGTCAGGAGGTGGTGGTGCACCTTTAGTCCCAGCACTCGGGAGGCAGAGGCAGGCGGATCTCTGTGGGCTTGAGGCCAGCAGTCTTCACAGAGTTCAGACTGCCAGAACTACACAGTGAGACCACTCTTAAAAGAAGGAGGCATGGGGGAGGGGCTGGAGAGAGGGCTCAACAGTTAAGAGCACTTGCTGTTCTTGCAGAGGACTCTTTGTTGTTGTTGTTGTTGTTTTTGGTTCCCAGCACCTATACAGTGGCTCACAAACATCTTTAACTCCAGTTTCAGGGGCCCCAACACCCTCTTCTGACCTCCTTGGGCTCCAGGCACACATGTGGTACATATATACACACATGCAGGTAAAACACTCATACACATCAAATTTTAAAATAATAATACACATATAAATAAAATACAGGGAAGGTTCCTATGAGAACAAATGCTGACAAGTCAGGGTAACCAAGTCTAGAGAGTAGAGACTGGGGCCGGCATGATCAACACTACCTTCTGTGCTTTGTAAAGACTGTAAAGGGAAATCAATTTGTAATGATTATAGGAAGAGCAGTTCATCCTCAAAGAATACTCAAACTATGCCAGAGACCCTACTAGCGATTTCTAACTGGGTGACTGGAAGCTCACTAATAGCCCCACACAGTGGACAGGGACAGAAACCTTAGATAACTTGCCAGAGAGCCCACAGTCAGAAAGCCAAGCTGTGTCTTGCCCACATCCTATCCATAGCCATTACACCGCCTACGGCGTCTTCCAAGTCCCCAGGTCCTGCCCTCGGACAACAGTAATAAAAAGTGAGTGTGTCCGGCTCTCCAAGCTTGCCCCGTCTCTCTTTTTATGTTTGTGAACAATTTCCACTCTAGCTTTATTAAGCACCCTCTGGGGAACACACAAGATCATCCTGGTTTTGTTGGTGGCCAACACCCATTGTTCTTGTACGTACCTCCTCGATGGAGGAAAAAGGGACACGAACATTTGTACAACTGATAACCGGCGTCCTTTCCCAAGGACCCATCCTTTACAGCCTCCGGGTTGACGGCTCTCAGAACTGGTGTGCTGGGGTGGCTGTTAACACCACCCCACCTCTGCCCACTGAAAAGCAGAGCTCAGCAGATCTGCTGGGAGACCTTTGAACTTGGAAACAGCAGCAGGCTGAGGCCACCAGCTGTGGCCTGTGCACAGGATGGATCCTGCCTCCACACCAAACGATGGCAGGCCAACTGAGCAATGCCTCCTTTGGGGGGATGAGGGAAGCATCCACAGACACAAACAGCAGGTCTCTTTCAACCGAGATAAACACGACACCCACATTGCAGCCAGCTAAGCACACAACTAACTCTCTGCTCAGCAAACTTCCCGGGAGTGGAGTCTGATTTGTTTTGTTTCCTTTTCCTCCACCCTTGGGGGTTTATTTTGCTTTGAGATCTCAACAAGGACAGAGACAGAAGGGAAACTACCACAAGATACAATTGTTTGGCTGTCTAAAAGAACTGTGCTGTGTTTTGAACTCTGGCTTAACTTTCTCTTCCCCCAGTGCCTTGTACTGGTTGCGCTCACCCATCTAACACACTCCATGGTAGAGGGATTAGGTGACCACACTTCCTTGACACCAGGAGAAGGCTCTGACAGAGCACTCTCTCCTATTTCTTTGGAAGGCAAGAAACTCTCCCCACTCAAAACAGGTTCCTCATTTTTGTCACCAGCGTCCTCCTAGCTAGTAGGTTTTCCATTTTAACTGCTGCACATGACTCCATTCTCGCCATACCTTGGTGGCTCTCGCCTGATGTGACTCTGTCCCCACTGTCTACAAATATTTCCGGCATCACAACTTGGGAATGATCTCGAGGGAGCCCAAAGAGGCCACTAATATCTACAGTCCACAGCTGAGACCCCACCCACAGGAAACAACCTCCTGGCTCCGTCTCAACAGCTCTGCCCTCGGTAGAGCCTGGGTGAGCAAGCGTCCCGCTTTCTAGAAGAGGCCCACAAGTTCCATCCGGCCGACTGGAAAGCAGGTGGTACAGACAGAGGCATTTCCCATTTTATTCCTAGAAACTGCACGCCCTGAAGTGAAATCCACCAGTCCCTTTCTTGTTTTTGTCTTCTGAAACAGGGATATCCCTGTCCAGTCTCGGAGAGCCCTCAAGTTGCCATCCTCCTCCCACCGAGCCTACGACTTTCCAAAGAGAAAGAAATGAGTCCCAGAAAGAAGTAAACTGCCCAAGGTCACACGGCAGACTCAGAGACAGAACTAGGGGCTCCTTCGGTCCTGCTCTTCGGCAGACTTAGGCTCTCACTCTAGAGAGGACCCAGAGGGTCACCCCTGGGGAAAGGTCACTCCTGGAGGAAGGTCCCGGGATCAGAGTTAGCTGCCATCCCGCTATCTGTCCCCAGAGTCAGGTTGACCCAAGCAGGAGTCCCCGGCCAGGTCACAAGAGGTCTCAGCCGGGAGGTGAGCGGGAAGGGATGGGAAAGGGAGGAGGGTCGTGCGGGGGCGCCTGTTCCTCGCACTCCACGGGTCGCCCCAGGAAGTCAAGGCAAAGAAAAAGGTGCAGAAAGAAGTGAATGAGTTGGGGTAGAAGCATGCGGGCAACCTCCCCAGGCCCCTCGGGAGTCGGGAGCACCCAGCCCCAGTTTCAGCCCCTTCTCGGCGCCCTCTGAACCCTGACCCCTGTCCTCGTGCCAAGCCCGCACCCTCGGATTCTTACACGCGCCGTCCCGGGATCCCGCACCATGCACCGTGTCTGCAGAGCGCAGCTCAGCACGCAGCTGCTGCTGCCAGTATCCCGACAGCGGAGCTACCGCAGCCGCCAACACCGCCTCACCGCTGCCACAGCGGCAGCTGCGCCAGCCCTTGCATCCTCCGACTCCTGTCACTCAAGCCCGCAGGCCCCGCCCCACGGCCCCACGCCACGGGCCATTGGCAGCCAGAGAGGCCGCAATGTAATTTGACAGGGTAATCTGCACGTCACTCATAGGGCTCCTCCTCCTTTCCCCGCCCTACTCGCTTAACCAACAGGAATCCCGGCTCTTTCCATTGGCAGAACGTCAGAGAGACGGTGGTTTTGATTGGTCATCGTTCAGAAGGTGGAGCCAAAGCAGCCCTAGTAGAAGTTGAATGGTGAAAAAAGAGGTCCGTCAAACACAGAGTCCCGCCTTCTAAGATTGGCGCGTAACCTAGCAACGGGGGGGGGTCGCCGAGATGGTTAACTGTGGGCAGAAAAACTTAACAGTTTGAGGAGCCGGTGAGTGACAGCAGGGGAGCCCCGGAGCTGCGTGCCGTGTGCGCTACATGGGCGCGCTGTCTAGTGACCCCCACAGGGGTCCGCGCCCCACTACCCTGCCTCGGTCCAGGTCTCCTTTAGGCCTCCTGCTAGGACCACTGACATCCTCGCTTTCGTAGTCCTTTCTGCTGTCCTGTCCACCTGTCTTTCACGGCTCCGCCCCTCATCCCTCACTGGTACCATTTATGTAAACATCCGACTGAAACTTGGTTGAAGGAAGAAGGTGAGTTGGTAGGTTAGGCACCCACTGACCACTCTAGGGACCCCTATGTTCCATGTTGAGCTTGCTCGGTGCAGAACTTCAGTGTATGCTTAAATTAAGCGTTTATTGTTTGTGTTTAGAAAGGGTCTCCCAGTGTAGCGCTGGTTGGCCTGGGACTCACAGAGATCCACCTGCCTCTGCTTCTGAGTGCCGGGATTAAAAGCGTGAGCCACGGCACCTAGCCTAATTAGTTTTTTTTAATTGTTATTTGTTTGTTGAAGATTTGCGATTTGCTTTTTGCTTTTATTATTTTGATCACTGTGTTTGTAGGTGGAGTACGTGCTTGAGGGTCCAGAAAATCCAGGAAAGGGGTTTGGATTCCCTCAAGCCTTGAACTGAAGTTATTAGCAGGTCGTTGTGAGCGGATGGGCATAAGTGCTGTGGACTAAACTCAGGTACTCTGAACGAGCCAGACACACTCTTAAAAAAAAAAAAAAACTTAAAGATCTGCTTATTTTTATTGTATGTGTATCTGTGAGGCCTACATGTATGAATGTGCACAGCATGTGTGCTGTGTGCCGTAACTGAGGAGGCCAGAAGTGGGCATTGGATCCACTGGAGCTGGAGTGACGGGTGGTTGTGAACCACTATGTGTAGGCTAGGAACTGAGCCTGGGTCCTCTACGAGAGCAGCCAGTGCCATTACACCCCCAAGCCATCTCTCCACCCTGGTTATTTTGATTGCACACAGAATTTTGTCTTTGATGTTAACTTTAAAATTTCGCTCATGTAATTTAAGACGTGATTTCCCTGTGCGTTCTGGCAAGGAAGAAGAATTTCTTGGGAAGATTGAATGAGATGAGGCAATGAAGAGTTGCCCTGGGCACAGCCACACAGTGACTGCTCAGCTAACTGTGGATTCCCCCGACATGACTCATTCTACTGTAACTCTTTCTATCAAAACATTTCCAAGGACATTTTCTTGGCCCATAGCAAAAACACTCGCATATTTAACATGGGTTTATTGAGTGCTTGTTGTGGATAGTGGAGGCGTCCTGAGCAGCAGGAAAATGCTGTCTTTTGAAGTGGGGGGCTGGAGAGATGTCTTTTCATTAAGAGCACACACTACTTCAGGTGGTTTGCAACTACCTTTTACACTCTGGTAATCGATATTTTTTAAAGATGAAGAATTTTATTTTTATTCTGTGTATCACACCTGCTTTTACATTGGTGTTAGGGAGCTTCAGATTTGAGCAGAAAGTATTTTACAGACTGAGCCCTCTCTCTAGACTGTATTTTGTTTGTGTGTGTGTGTGTGTGTGTGTGTGTATGTGTGTGTGTATGTGTGTGTTTTGAGACAGGGTTTCTCTGTGTAGCCCTGGCTGTCCTGGAACTAGCTCTGTAGACCAGGCTCGCCTCAAACTCAGAGATCTGCCTGTCTCTGCCTTCCAAGTGCTGGGATTAAAGGTGTTTGCCACCACATCCCACCCTACCCCAGCTTCTGGTCTATATTTTAAGTTCTATTTCATTTACTTAGTGTGTACATGTGTGTGCCTGTGTGTTAGTGCTGTGATAGAACTCACACATGCTAAACAGATGCACCACTCTTTTTGAAACACCACAATAATTCACTCTGCAGTCATGTGTGACCAGAAGTGCACATATTTAAAGCGTACCATGACCAAGAAAGGAATTCAAATCATCTGACATGGAAGCCATGTGTCCTCTATAGTTTTCCGACTGTTCCTTAGAGGCAGAGTTTTTCTCTGAACCTGGGGCTTAACGCCCCCAGCATCTTCCTGCCTCTGCACCTGCTCTGTTCAGTCTATAGAATGATGTGTCATAATTCATAATGATGATGTGTCATCATACATTAGGGTTTCTTTCTTTCTAGGTTATTTTAATGTATAGGAATGTTTTGCCTGAATGTATGTACATCGTGTGCAGTACTATCAGAGGCCTGAAGAGGGCACCAGATCCCTTGGAACAATAACTATGCATGACTGGGCAGTTACTGAGATCCCGTCAAGCAAACAAAAACCAAACCTGATGACAAAAACCAGACCTGATGTCTGGCTGTAATGGAGGACGTGATCTGGCTTGTGAAGTCAGTACTGCATCTGCATCTGCAGCATCCTGCAGAAAGTGGTGAGAAGGTGGGGCCGTCATCTCTCATTCACCAGCACCTATGTGTTTACTGAGCATCTACCATGTGATAGTTGCTTAGGATAAAAGTTTTTTTTTCTGCTACTAATTATTATTATTGTCTGTGTGTGCATGATGCATGTGTGTGAGTGTTGGCATGCCACTGCACACATGTGGAGGTCAAGGACAGCTCTCAGAAGTTGGTTTTCTCTTTACAGCATAGGTTCCGGGGATTGAACAGAGGTCCTCAGCTTTGGTAGCAAGCGTCTTTACCCCCTGACCTATCTCACCAGTCATGGATGGAAGTTTTTGTCATGACTTGACTAGACTCCTGTACCACTCTCAACTCCCTTTTCTGTCTGTGAAATGGCCTTGAAGGGATATAAGGACCAAAGGAACTCATTCATAGAAAGTACTCCCTGGTTTTTGTTTTGTTTTGGTTTGGTTTTTTGAGACATAGTCTCCCTATGTAGCTTCAACTCACTGTGTAGCCCCAGGATGATCATGAACTTCTGATCCTCCTGCCCCCATCTCCAGAGAGCTGGGACCGTGAGTGTATTTAGAAGAGTTGGACACATAGGTAAATTCTAACATTGGCCACTGTTACAAAAAGGAGCCTTAAACCGAGACACCTTTCCCCTACCTTCCCGCAGCCAGCACTGGGTCTGTGAAGCAGTCACAGGTTTCTTTCATCTTCTCTCTCTCTCTCTCTCTCTCTCTCTCTCTCTCTCTCTGTGTCTGTGTGTGTGTGTGTGTGTGTGTGTGTGTGTGTGTGTGTGTGTTGGGGCAGGGCGGGGGAGAGCTAGCACAGTAATAAATCTCCAACCTGCCTATTTGAATGAAGTGGTGGCACATTTGCATGATAAAGATAAATCGATAGAATTCATGACAATGAAAGCCTGGTGCTTCTGCAGCCCTGCTTGACTCTCAGGGCAGGAATCTTAAAAAGGGGAGGCTGGATTGACGATTTCAATATGAAGGTTGGTGCCATCAAAAAGGACACAGAACACTCATTAGAATTCAAGGAAAAGATTCTCGGGTAATTTTCGCTGGCATCACCATTCACCCCTTTCCCCACACCTTCCCTGTCCCCTGTTCACCCAAATGAGCTGTCAGGAACTGATGAGCATCTTGGTAATCAGAGAAAACAAGCTTGCCCTTTCAAGCAAAAGAGGCGATTTGACTGAAAGCAAATTGGAAGCATTCCCCTCTGAGTTTCCAGCCTTTGTCTCCCAGGAATCCTGGGTGTTTTGACTAGTGCCTGGAGAACTCTAAGGACAGCGTGGAAAAGTGTGTCATGTCCATTCAACACTTCCTCCATTCATCCTGTGGCCTCGGGGCAGGTACCCTTCATCCTCAGAGGGCTGGGGAGAGGCTCCACAGCTGCCCAAACCACTCTACAGTCAGGGAAAGGCCCCTGGGGAGCTCACTCTACAGATGAGAGAGCAGGAAGTGGGAATGAAGCCCAAGGAAGCAGGATGGCACCACCTTGGGCTGGGTCTGCAGCCTTGAAGAGGTTCTGACTCTGGCCCAGGAGCCTCCTGTCCTTCACAGCGGATCTGGTGCCTCTCTTCTCTGCCTTAGACACATTGGAGACTTCTCCAGTTGCTTAGCTGCTGCGGTTTGAGGAGCTAAAGATAGTCTTCTGTGGCTCTGCATAGCACTTCATCCTCCTCCATCTTTCTCTGGGTCCCTGTGACCGTCATCATCAGCTCCTACGCTGTTTGACCACCTAAGACTCTTTAATTGAATATTTGATCAGTTGAGCCTCTCTGACTACAAGCAACAGAAGCCAAGAAAGTCCCTTCCACCTTCAGCATCTGCATTAGTAGGTCTGCAGGAAGGAGACTGGAGCTTGACACTTCCTATCCCTGTGGGTTTCCCTCAGCTGGGTTTCCCCAGCGGACAGGACTGTTTGATGGATAGTCCCACCAAGGCTACTGTGTTAGTTGGCTCTCCCCATGTCAAAGTCCCTGAGGTGCATGACTTGCAATGCTGGTCTGGGCTGTGGCTGGTGGCTCTGCTGTTTAGGGAGGCTGTGGTGGGACCGTGCATCAAGCAGAGCCCGTGAGAAAGGAGGAAGTGAGAAAGGGAGAAGGAGACAGAGGGACAGAGGCACAGCCCTAGTCACCAAAGAACCTTGTGTCATCCAGATGTGATAGATATGGTTACCCAGGCCTTTTAATCCCAATACTCAGGAACCAGTGGCAGAAGAAGCAGGAGGATCTCTGTGAGTTCAAGGCCAGTTTGGTCCACATAGTGACTTTCAGGCCAGCCAGGGCTACATAGTAAGACTCTGTCTCAACATTCACCCACTCCCAAAATAAGAAAACCCCAACAACCTCCCCTTCCGGCCCCACCTTTTTTTTTTTTTTTTTTTTTTGTCCCCTTAGACAGGGTTTATCTCTTTGGAAGAGCCTTAGCTTTGGGGCCTGTCCTAGAGTTTGCTCTGTATACCAGGCTGGCCTCGAACTCACAGAGATCCACCTACCTCTGCCTCACAAGTGCTGGGATTAAAGGTGTGCATCACCACTGCCACCCCTCTTAAAGGAAGGTCCCATTACCTCTGACAGCTGTGTCCCCATGGGCTGGGGCCCAGAGCTTTAACACATAAACCTGTGGGGTTCTGTGCAAACCACAGCAAATGCATATGATGGGGGAGAGACTGTGTTTTCTGAGGGAAACCTGGGTGCCTTTACTTGTCAAGGACACAGACTTGAGCATACAGAGACATTAGTGCCTCTGTCTCCTAGCAGAGAACTCGTGGAGTCCAAGAGTGAGTCTCTGTCCTCCCCTCCACGTACGCGCCCCGGGCTTCCCTAGTCATGTAACAAACCCGACAAGCCCTCGCTTCTGTGGGCAGGCACTTCTTTGGGGAAGGAAAAGATGGTGAACAATTAGTCAGGTCCATGTGGGGACATCAGAGCGGTCAGCAGGGCACGGGGCATGAGAAGGGTCAGGCTGAACATGGAGATGTCATACATGAGATCATGGTGATCCAGACTCACACTTCAGTTTCCCTCGGCCTACAATGTAATATTAGCTGTTTGTTGAAGACTGGCCATGTCCCTTTGAACCCAAGGATTCCTGCCTTACAGCAAAGAGAGCCAGGCCCCACCCCCAGCAAGGACTGGAATCCAAGTGGGGCTGCTGCAAGTTCCTGCCACAGCCACTGTGCTACCAAAGCCACAGGAATTTTTGCTTTGTTTTGTTTGAGACAGGGTCTTACTCTGTAGCCCTGGCTGTCCTGGAACTCACTCTGTAGACCAGGCTGGCCTCAAACTCAGAGATCTGCTTGCATCTGCCTTCTGATTGCTGGGGTTCAAGGTGTGTGCCACCACAACCAGCTTGCCAATGAAATATTTTTGGTGTTGCCACAGTTTTCTGAGGCAGTTGTTCAGACAAACCTTCTACCTTGTGATGTAAATATCTGATATTGGAGGTACCTGATATGCAAACCCATAGGGGTTGAGGCCGTACGTTGAGAACCAGTGGTCCAGGACATGGATTGGTTTCTTAGGAAAATGGGGCTGGCGGGCTGGCCTCTCTTCCTCCTTACTTTCTTTCTCATCTTTTCTTCTAAGTGTTGACATTACAGGCCTTCCCTGTCATACCTGATGAGTTATTTATTTGTTTGTTTGTTTTTATTTTGGTTTTTCAAGAGGGTTTCTCTGTGTAGCCCTGGTTGTCCTATACCAGTTTGGCCTGAAACTCATAGATCTGCCTGCCTCTGCCTACCGAGTGCTGGGATTAAAGACGTGTACCACCACCACTGGGATTAACTTCATTTATTATTACTAATTTACTTTTGGAGTTTGGAAACTGTACTCAGATAGGCCTTGAACTCTCAGCCATCCCCCTGCCTGAGCCTCCTGGGTTCTGGGCTTATAAACTACCACCTCCCCCGAAACTGCCTGTGAACTGTGTTTTGAAACTATTGTTACCACTCCGCCCCAGTTTTCAAATCAATACTCAAACATCACCTGGCTGGGGTCAGGGAGATGGAGGGCTGCATTGGAAGGTGCCTGCCATACAAGTAGGTAAATTTAGCCCCCAGTGCTCACATAAAAGCCAAGGATGAGCCAAGGTGGTGGCACATGCCTTTAATCCCAGCGCTCGGGAGGCAGAGGCAGGCGGATCTCTATGAGTTCGAGGTCAGCCTGGTCTACAAGAGCAAGTTCTAGGACAGGCTCCAATGTGTAGTAATAAGGGCGGTGGGGCTGCGTCCCCAGCACCCCAGCTGCCTGGCTAGCTTATGCCCGAAATAACAACACACAAACTGTATTCATTTAATCACTGCTTGGCCCATTTCTATCTAGCCTCTTCTAGGCTAATTCTCACATATTAATTTAGCCCATTTCTAATCATCTGTGTAGCGCCCCTAGGTGCGCTTACCGGGAAGATTCTAGCCTATGTCCATCCTGGGTCGGAGCTTCATCGTGTGCGTCTGCCTGGGAGCTGGGAGCATGGCGTCTCTCTGAGGCGTCTGCCCCCGAGAGGAGAGCTGTGGAGTCTGAGCTCACTTCCTCTTCCTCCCAGTGTTCTGTTCTGTTTACACCTCCCACCTATCTTCTAACCAATGAGGGCCAAGCAGTTTCTTTTTATTTAACCAATGACCTTCCTCCATCACCAATGCTGCAGAGAAACCCTGTCTAGAAAAAAAACAAAAATAAAAATAAAAGAGTCAAGGACATTGGCAAGAGTTTGCAATCCCAGTAGAGTTTGTAATTACCAGTAAAGAGGTGGGGAGAAGAGGAGTCCAAGGCCTCGCTGGGCAGCCAGCCTATCTGCTTGGTGAGGTCCAGGTTCAGTGAGAAACCCTGACTAAAAACAAAGAGGAGATGGATAAATGAAGACACTCAGTGGTTACCTCTGGCCTGTATATGGACTAATATGTGCATGTACATACATACATACAAACACACTACACACATGTGCACACCCCCACACATGCTTACCCACACACATACATATCTACACTTAACACTCTATGCACATGTACACACTACACAACACATCTACACATATGTGTACATCTATATACACTCTATGCACACATGCACATTCCCATACACGTGTACATACTACCCGAGCATGTACACCTACACATACATGTACACTACACTCCTGACATGTGCTGGTGCACCATCTCCACCCTGCCTGCTTTTGCCCCATTGTTGGCTGTGACCTGTTCAGCCCCGTCTGGGACCTGTCCTACTGTGATCTGCGGTTCCTTGTCCCAGCCTCCTCTGGATCCTGGGCTACTGATCCGGCACACTGTGGCCCAGTGAGTTGACTTCCCACTGCTTTGGGGTCGCCATGGGGAGGAAATGCAGGTGGAGGCAGGGGACATTTCTACGCTCGGCTTTGCTCGGACAGCACTTCCAGCTACTGCTTGACTCCTCTGGGGTCTGCTGCCCCTGAGCCCTCTCCTCACATCTTCCTCCTATGTGGTTCCCTGTTGGGACACTGCTGGGTGACCTCAGCTGCCTAGAGCTGACCTCTCTCTGTGTCTGCCACGTGGGTAATGTGAAGGGCCTCAAAACAGTGACTGTTTCTTGCCTGATGTATATGCCTCCCCCGTAACCCCTTTACTCCACTGGCTCAGTCAAGCACCAAGAATCATCACAACGTTAAAAGATAAGCCTGACAGGGTGGTACACACCTGTAATCCCAGCACTGCGTCAGGGCTAAGGACAGACTAGGCTATAAGAGACCCTATCTCAAAAAACAAACAAACAAACAAACAAACAAGCAAAAACCCAAATCAAAACAAAACCCCCAAAGACCAAAGAGCTAAAAGTAGCTTCCAGGTTCTGTGCAGTGGCCATCATGGCCGTCATACCTAACAGCCACTTCTTTCTTTTTAGGGTTGCTGATTGTGAAAGCAAAGAGAGCCTTGAGTTGGCTGACATCTCAGTGCCAGGGATATAGAGGCAAAGCCAGCTGCTCCAGAGATGGCCTTTGAACTCTTCAGCATGGCCCCTTCCTACGACAGCCTGGCCATACAGAGAATCCCACTGAGGACTGACATAATCCAAGCTGAGCCCATGAAGACCTTGGCCCCATCCAAATCGAAGCTCAGCACCATTGAGGCCAAGAGAATCATGTCAGTATTGGATGAGGCCATACAAAAAGTGGAGCTGGTGACCCTGATGTCCTACGTGGAGTCCCACCCAGAAGTTCTGGAGGGAATGTTCCCTGACAACTTGGTGAGGGCCATAAGAGAGCATTTGGACATTGGCCAGGTCTTGCTGGAGGGCGCCAGCATCCTGCAGGAGAAACAGAAGCAGCTGGAGGAAGAGGAGGAAGCTGAGGAAGCCTGGTGCCAGGACCGCCTACTATCCATAGAGCTATGCAGGGCCAGTCTGGGGCCACTGACACACCAGTTCCGAGACTCCACCAAGGCTATCCTGAGGCTCCTGACCAATGACTCCCAGGTCATCACGCTGCTGCAGATGCAGGCACCAGGCAGAAGCCCGGGGGCCCAGCGCCTCCTGGACAGCCTGGTGGAGCTTCGTGGCTTCCTCTTTGAAAAACTACTCACCAGCCCTATGGAGGTGAAGGAGAAGAACCAGTTCATGCAGGACATCAACCGGAGGAATGAAAGGAACCAAGAAGTGATTGACGCCCTCCAGGCTGAGCTGGCAGAGGTGCTGAAGAGTAAGGAGTCCGAGGTAAACTTCCCAGCATCCTTCAGGTTATGAGAGGAACTGCCGCGGAGCGCCCAAGCCCTGTGAGACTTGGGTCTCCTCTCACTGATTCAAATAGCTTTCTCTTCAATTACTCTGTAGGGACTGTTGCGAGCATTTCACTCACAGGACACGAGGAAGGCATTAAGGAATTAGTTGGGTGCTGTTTGGAAGTATGGTGAAGGCTAAGGATGGGGCACCGTGAAGGGATGGTACAAGGAGTAACTTGGGCCAGGAGGACCAGGGACGCCGCCACTAAGACATGAAGGATAAAGACAGGTGAGGAAGGCTTTCCCAGCCAGGGGTTGGCGAGTTGTCATTGTCACCAGCGAAGAGAGTTCTTCGTCCTCTGTAGGATAGACATCAGACACATGGGGGAGGGGTCGCAGAGCCAGCTCAGTGGTTAAAAGTGCATACTGTTCACTATACAGCCTTGGCTGGCCTGGAACTCACAGAGATACCCCTGCCTGTGCCTCTGGAGTGCTGGGACTGAAGGTCTGTGCCATCGCACCCGGTACACTCTGCTCTAGCAGAGCAGAAGAGTTCAGTTCCCAACACTGATGTCCAGCAACTCACAAACACCTGTAACTCCAGCTCCCGGGGATGTCGCCCTCTTCTGGACACCACAGGCACCTGCATTCACGCACATATCCACACATACAGGTTTAAAATTATATTAAATCTGGAAAGAAAAGAAATCTGAAACCCAAGAGTATTTTTTTTTCTTTTTGGGTCCCCGTTGGGGAATCGAACCCAAGAGTATTGAAGCAAAAGAAAAGTGAAATATTATTATAAAAAGAAGTACAGGATTGGCTGGTGATGGGGCACGCCTTTAATCCCAGCATCCCAGAGGCAGACAGATGTCTTGTCTACAGAGCGAGTTCCAGGTCAGCTAAGGCTACACAGAGAGACCCTGGCTCAAGAAAAGTACAGGGGTGGGCATGGCTCAGTGAACAAAAGCTTCTGTACAGCCTGGGGGACCTAAGTTTGAGCCTCGGAGCCCACTTTTTTTTAAAGCTGGTATGGTAGTGTACCTTTGTAATCTCAGCAGTGGGGAGGCAGAGACAGGAGGGCCCCTCCCCTCAGACCATTGGCTGGCCAGCCTAGCCTAGCCAACAAGCTCCAGGCCAGTGAGAGGGAGAGGTGGCTGACACGTGAGGGTGTGCACACGCACACCTGTGCACACGTACAGAGAGGTGCAGCAGGCTACCCTGCAGCTGTGTTTCATCTTATGGAAGGGTTTGAATACTTGAATATTCAGAGGTTCTGCAGGCAGCTTGAAGTGGGCCTGTGTGTGCATTCCCCCGCCCAACACGGACTTGACTAGTTAGTGTATGAGTGTATTATAATGAATCTCAGGGCCAGTTACAATTCAGGAATTCAGATGTGGCTACTGTCTTTCATATACTTGTCCCAGGTGAGCAACAGCAGCCTGTTTTTTTTTGGGGGGGGGAGGGGGCTCCATATCTCATCTCCAAAGGGTCACACAATCTACACCCTGGGCTCAGTGTTCTCCACATTACTCTGCTGTTTAGTGTGGACGCAGCCACGAACAGTGTCAGGACAAAAGGGCTGTGTCCCAATAATACTTTATTGACAGATATGGCTGTCCGGATCTGGTCTTTGCGCCTTTATTTGCTGACTTCTTTCCTAGGTGGAGGGGAGCATAAGCCTGGCGGGTTCAGAACTCTAAGGGAGGACACAGCCAAAGGCCAGCTGCCCCCGTGATTGTGGGGTGCGAGCTACGTGGCTATTAATGGGGCCCCATCCTCATTCATCCCTGCCTAGGTGGAGAAGGAGAATTTTGTGATCCAAGAACTGAAGAACCACCTGCACCAGGTGTTCAAGTTCTCGGAGAACAGCCTCCTCCGCACAAAGCAGGAGGCAGAGAAACAGCAGAAGGTGGATTACCGGGCCTCCCAGGCTAGGCTGGCCAAGATACAGCAAGAGATCCTGGCACTTCGTACACAGTTCCACAATCTGGTCATGGAGAACCGGGAGATGGAGCAGGCCCTAAGGAAGGTGCCCTGAGGTCTCATGGGGGCAGAGGGGACAGGGCAGGGCTGGCCCAGGAGTAGGAAAGCTCAAGAGAGGTGTACCTCCCGGGAGGGGGTGGTGGGGGAAAGCGCACAGGTGGAGTAAGGTTCCTCCCTCACCGCCATCTCTAGTTCACCCATGGTGGAGGCTGGGTCTTGCTTCATTCCTCACTATGGCAGAATCACATTCTGTTTTATGTGTGTGAGGGGGATTTTTCCTTTTTTTCCCCCCTGGGATTAAAGGTATTTCTCCCGAGTACTGGGATTAAAGGCGTGTGTCACCACTGCCCAGCTGAAAAAGTGTTTTCTTATTTACGGATTGAGACAGGTTCTGGTTGTCCTGGAATTCACTCTGTATGTAGACCAGGCTGGTTTTAAACTTGGAGATCCACTGCTTTGCCTCCCTAGTGCTGGGAGCAAAGGTGTGCGCCACCATGCCTGACCCAAGTGTTTTCTTTTTTTTTAAATATTTATTTATTTTGTATACAATATTCTGTCTGTGTGTGTGCCTGCAGACCAGAAGTGGGCACCAGACCTCATTACAGATGGTTGTGAGCCACCATGTGGTTGCTGGGAATTGAACTCAGGACCTTTGGAAGAGCAGGCAATGCTCTTAACCGCTGAGCCATCTCTCCAGCCCCCAAGTGTTTTCTTTAAGTTTTTATTTTATGTATTGCCTACATGTGTGTGTTTATATGTCTGTGTACCACATGTATGCAGTGCCCTCAGAGGCCAAAAGAGGGTGTTGGATCTAGAACCGGAGTTACAGAGGGTTGTGAGCTACCATGTGGATGCTAGGAATTGAACCTGGGTCCTCTGGAAGAGAAAACAGTGCTTTTAACTGTTGTGGCATCTCTCCAGCCCCAAGTATATTTAATTTTTAAACTTAGGGCCTCATTTGTGCTAGACAAAGGTTGAGTCACATCCCCAGCTGGGAGCTGACCCTTTAAAACAAAATATTTATGTGTGTGTGTGTGTGTGTGTGCATGCATGTGTGGGTGTGCATGCGTGTGCGTGTGTATGCCTGCATGTGTGCATGCGCGTGTGCGTGTGTATGCCTGCATGTGTGCATGCGCGTGTGCATGCGCGTGTGCATGCGCGTGTGTGCCTGCGTGTATGCATGCACGCACATACACTGCAATGCCTGTGTGGAGGTCAGAGGATAGGTCTGCTGTCAGTTCTCTCCTGCCACCTTGTAGGGTCAGGATAAAACTCAAGCCCTAACCGCCTCTACCTACCCACTGAGCCAACTTATTGGCCCTGGACTCTTTTGTTTTTGTTTAAGAAAAAATATAAAGTGGAGACTGAAATTGAGAACTGGATCCAGAAATATGACATGGAGATGAGCGAGAAGCAGGTATGTGTTGGGGCTCCTCCTGAGGGGCTGGGAGGGATGGAAGTGGGGTAGGAGCTGTCCCAGATGGCCTAGGTATGAGCCTTCCTGGTGTTCAGGTGTGGGTGGTGGAAAGCCTATGGTGGGGTACAGGGTGAGAGGACATAAGAAATGCAAAACTGCTGCCAGCCAGATCCATCCAGATGTCCCCTCCTCCAGCCTGGCTCAGCCCCTGCCTGCTCCCAGTTCAGTGGGGAGTCTACCCGCTACTGTTACCAGGCACTTACTGAGAACCTAAATAAGGCAGGGAGGCACAGCTGTGTCACCTGACATCAGTTGGCCTTTTTGAGTTTGGATCTGACCATGAGAAACACAGGCTGCAAGGTGTGTCCTGAGGCCCTCATGGGAGGGTTCATGAGACACCATTACTGAATGTGTCTGAGCCCCGAACCAGGTCTAGATAAATCCTGACCTGCAGTGGGAGCCTGGGTGGCTCCACCCACTTGCATGTGACACGGGTGGCACCTGGCCCTGACCTGGGTAGGCCTGAAAAGCTGAGAGTTCACACCTTGTCAGAGAAAGGCAAGCAGGACCCCTCTCAGCCAGACCACAGTGCTCCCCTGACTCAGGAGCTGTGAGGCTGGCGCCCAGTTTTGGGCCCCAGAACAGGTTGTGTGGTGCGGCCACGGCTGGGTGGTGTGCACAGGGTCCAGTACTACAAAACAAACCCTACAGAGTCCCGAGTGCCACAGTGGACTCTGTAGGGTTTGTAGATTTGTAGGTCCCTTGTTGGCTGGGACCCTGACAGCTCAGCTCAGTCCTTGTCCTCAAAGTGCTCTGCCCATGGTGGATACTCAGTAGGTGTTGGTGGAAAGAAGGGGTAGAAAGAGGGGAGGGGGGAGTTGGTGTGAATTGCAGTAAGAAGGATGAGGAACAGAATGGGGGACTCTGGGGTCACCTGCAGATCTTTCTGCTCTGAGCCTCTGTGAAGCTGCTCAGTGGCGGTGGCCTGTGTCCTGACTCTGTGGAGTGAGATCCTCTGTGTCCTGACCCTGTGGAGTGAGATCCTCTGTGTCCTGACCCTGTGGAGTGAGATCCTCTGTGTCCTGACCCTGTGGAGTGAGATCCTCTGTGTCCTGACCCTGTGGAGTGAGATCCTCTGTGTCCTGACCCTGTGGAGTGAGATCCTCTGTGTCCTGACCCTGTGGAGTGAGATCCTCTGTGTCCTGACCCTGTGGAGTGAGATCCTCTGTGTCCTGACCCTGTGGAGTGAGATCCTCTGTGTCCTGACCCTGTGGAGTGAGATCCTCTGTGTCCTGACCCTGTGGAGTGAGATCCTCTGTGTCCTGACCCTGTGGAGTGAGATCCTCTGTGTCCTGACTCTGTGGAATGAGATCCTCTGTGTCCTGGCACTGTGATAAAACACCTGAGAAAGGGAAGGAAAGTTTGTCTGGGCTCAGAGTTTTGGAGAGTACAGTTCATGGTCACTGGACCCCACTGCCTTGAGTCTAAGGAGAGAGTGTCACAGAGAGGGGAGTAGAAATGTTCACCACAGAGGGGCTGGTAATGAAGGAGGAGAAGGAAAAAAAGGGTTGAAGGGTGGAGGAAGAAGAGGAGGGAGACACAGACCGAAGAGAAGATACCTTTCAAGGGCCCACCCCCCAAGAAACTACTTCCTTCCGGAAAGCCTGCTCCTGTTGTTCAGCGGTGAATCCATCAGCTGGTTAACCCACTGATGAGGTTGGCGCTTTTACGATTCAGTCGCCTCTCAACAGCGCCACCTAGCGGGAGACCAGGCCTTCAACCCATGTGTCTGTGAGCGGCCTTTCAAACTGAAGCCGGGTATCCCAAAACTGGCCCTGATACTGGGAATTGTCTGGAAAACCAGGAGCTTAAAAGAAAATCTCCTAAAGGTGCAGAGAAGCTAGACTTCAATGCTAGGGCCAGCGACTGGGGAGCTGGCTCAGTTTCTAGGATGTTTGCCACGCAAACACCAGGACCCGAGTTCCCATCCCCAGCACCTACATAAGAAGCTGAAGGCCGCAGTGTGCAGTTATAATCACCTTGCCAGGAAGCAGAGACAGGCAGATCCTGAGAGTTTGCCAGCTCAGTGACACCAGCAAGTTCCAGGTTCAGTGAAAGAAAGGTGGAGAGATTGAGGACATCTGATGTTGACCTCTAGCCTACACACACACACACACACACACACACACACACACAGAGGCACACACACAGGCACACGCATACGCGCACCACGTGCATTAATTGTGCACTTAAACAAGAATACACGCACACCTAGGTTTGCACACCTTGTTGTCCTTGTCCTTCCCTCCATCCCGAGGTCTGTTCAGTTGGATCCTTCCTGGAGTGAGCCCAGGTACAGACAGGCCCTGTACCTTACCTGGCTGGGGCGGAAGACAGGGAACATGGGAAGCCATGCCAAGTGCTCCGTCCCCAGCCCTGCCCCTCGCCTAGGACGAATTCGAGGACCTTGAGAGCATCCACAAGGAGGAGAAGCTGCAGCTGGAGGAGCTGAAGGAGAGGCATGCGGTGCTGGTGGAGGAGTTCGCCCAGATCCGCGCTGAGAGCGAGATCAACTCCAAAAAGCGGGTGGAGGCAGAGCGCGAGATGGTGCGCATGGTAAGGGCCGCCACGCTCATCCAGGCCGTGTGGAAGGGCTACCTGGTGCGCTCCATGCTCAGGTCCAGGAAGAAGAAGCGCGGAAAGGGGAAAGGCAAAGACAAGGGGAAGGGCAAAGAGGAGAAGAAAGCCAAGGGCAAGGCCAAAGCCAAGAAGAAGTGACCGCTGTCTGGCCTGGCCCCGCCCCTGCCCAGCTTTAACCTCGCCCTGCCCGATCTGAACCACAACCCCCAGCCCTTCCATCCCTGGCTTTGATTATGGCTAAAATTAAAAACCAACATTTAAACCATTCTCAACACTGTTGACTCACCCTTCAACAGACATGTCTGCCCTGGGATGAGGCTGTGTTGCTCATGGGCGCAGCATCCCGAGGAGGGTGCAAGCTTTGGGCCCCCATCCTTCCACATCTTCATTGAGAAATGAGGCCCTGGTCCCAGCCCAGGAGCTACTGTGGTTGCCATGGAGACATCATGGCACAGCTTTGCCCCTATGCTATGAACCATTGGGAGGGCAGCAGCGTTTTTGTTTGGCGTTTAGATTGTTTGCACAATTTTCAAAAAGTATTAGTTGCTAGGATTTCATAAATTGAGAACTATCCCATAGAAACCGAGCAGCCCTTTCTGTAAGGATCCCATCACCCTGATATCCCAGAATTCAGCCCGTGTCTTCCATAGTGCAGCAGCAGCAGTCCTGCAACTTTATTTTGAAACAAAGTATTCCTATGCAGCCCAGACTGTCCTTGAACTTAGGGTGACCCTCTGATTTTTTTTTTGTTTGTTTGTTTGTTTTTCGAGACAGGGTTTCTCTGTGGCTTTGGAGCCTGTCCTGGAACTGTCCTGGCCTCGAACTCACAGAGATCTGCCTGCCTCTGCCTCCTGAGTGCTGGGATTAAAGGTGTGCGACACCACCGCCTGGCTTCCTTCCTCTGATTTCTAAATGCATAGGCCACCTCTTCTGGCTGACTCCTTCCTCCACTTTAAAACACAAAGCATGAGTCCGGCCCGTGGGAGTGGATTCCTTGCCTTTAATCCCACCACTTGGGAGGCTGAAGTAGAAGGATCTGAGTTTGAGGCTAGCCTGGTCTACAAAGTGAGTTCCAGGACAGCCAGAGCTACATGGGGAAACCCTGTCTTACGTGGTTGTGCCCATGAAGTCCAGAGCTGGGTGGAACTACAGCCACTGATGTTTGTGAGCCACTAGAAGAGGTTACTGACGTCTGAACCCAGTACTGACCTGACAGAGCTGTTATGGTCTCTTAACCCACGAGCCACCCCTTTAGTCCCAATTTTTTGTTGTTTTTGTTTTTTTTTTTTGAGATAGGGTTTCTTTGAGTAGCCTTGGCTGTCCTAGAACTCGCTCTGTAGACCAGGCTGGCTTCAGCTCACAAAGATCTGCCTGCTTCTGCCTCTCAAGTGCTGGGATTAAAGGCATGCATGATCACAGCCCAGAAACTTTTTATTAAAAGGTGTGTGTGTGTGTGTGTGTGTGTGTGTGTGTGTGTGTATCACATGCATGCCTGATGCCTGAAAAGGTCAGAGGGTGTTGGATCCCCTGGAATTGAAGTTATAGGTGGTTAGGAGCCACCTGATGTGGGTCCTCCCTCTGGAAGAGCAGTAAGCAAGTAAGCACTCTTAACTACTGGGTCATCTCTCCAGTGCCCCCTCCTCCACCTTTTGTGGTTCCCATCAGGCTGCCCCTATCCTGTCTCCCCCAAGTGCTCTGACACCACAGCCTAGTATAGCCAGATTCCAGGCCTGGTATCAGTTAACCTGGTGGCATCACCCTGGGCTTCAGCCGACCTTTAGTGTAGACGGGAGAAGAATATGTGCTTCTATTTTTAGCCTGTGCCTATCAACGTGAAGAGGAGGGACAGAAAAAAAAAGGAGGTAGACTAAACCATTCTCTTGTGAAAGTTCTAGAAGCTTAATGTCCTCTGTGGCTGTAGTGCAGTCTGTCTGTACCCAGGTATGTCTGTCTGACCTCTGCACGTGATTACAAATGTCTCTGGGCCTGGCTACACCTAGACAATGGTGAGATGCCCCCTGGGCTCCCTGAACTGCTCAGAGAAGGAGGGGGACCAGGAGAGGCTCAAGACTCCCACTGTCATCATGCAGGGCAGCTCTGAGGCCCAGGGCCCCAGCAGCCAGGCTCCCTGTCCCTGGCTGCCTCCTCCAGCTCAGTCATCCACTAAGTCCTGTTTTGTTTTGTTAGGGGAGGAGGTTGCTGGGGATTGATCCCAGGGCCCCATTCATGTATGTTAGGCAAACATTCTACTATCAAGCTACATCCCCGCCCCCTAGCAAGACAATTGCTAGCAAAGGACTCTCACTGTGTCCTGAGCTGGCAGGAACCACCCACCTACCCATGTATGGTGTCATAAAACAGAGACAGGACGGTTGTCCTCAGACCTCAGCAGCCACTGTCATATCTGTCACATGCTCAAATCACCCTTGGTTGTTTAACTGTACTGTTTAAATTGACTGAGGCCTTTACTTAAGGGGGAAAAAGCAACACACCACTAAGCTTTGATGAGCTGAATATATTTAGTACATGGAATGAATAAATACACGGATATTAAAATGTCTCCCTCATGTTCCACCCTCGGGGTTCACATACAGCCCAGGAAACTCTCTCAAGGCACCCAGACCCCTGTAGAAACTGAATCCTGAGCAGGGAGCTGGGTGGGGTTTGGCACCAATGCAGAAAGAGGCTGCACCATGGCCAGAGAGATATCTCAAAGGACCCCAAACACCCTGCAGAGGCGGCTAGGGAGTCCTGAGCTTGTGGGGACCAAGGGAAGCATGGCCTGTCCTCACCATGGAGCCTCAGGGAGACTTCTCTAGTGCTTGGAGGCACTGGAGACACTGGTCCCCATAGTACTGCACCTGAGCCAGAGGATTACCTGATGAGAACCTCATTTCCAAGGAGGCTTTGGCTTGCGGGGGCCAGCCCCTTGTCGAGGGGCAGCTGGCCCTGAAACTTTGCCTGACCGTGACCTGGGAGTGACCAAGGGACTCCGAACAGTCATCCCTGACATGGAAGGCCGGGGACTCCAAGGTCCATTGGTCTGGGGGACACTAGAAGCTGGATGACCCATGCTGGCGACACTTAGGTGGCTGAGTGAATGGGAAGGCCTCCGCCCTAGAGAGGAAGGAGCATCTAACCCCTCCTGGGATGTCTTCTGGGAGCCTATTGCCACGCTGGGCTCTGTCCTGGAGGGTCCATCTGGGTGAATGGCTCGAAGTGGGGTCTCTCTGGGGCGAGGTGAGTGGCCGCCCCTAGGGGTGGCTGGTGGTGTCCAGAAAAGGGTCTGGAGCTTGGCAGTATCCCCTATGGCTGTCCGAGACCCCTCCTTGTTGGTGCCCTGTGGCCGGGAGCCGAAAAGGGACTCATCACAGTAGGAAGGGGTGTGGCCAATCAACCTAGGAAAGGGAAGAACACAGTGACCTGCGATGACACACCAGAGCTCTCTCTAACCCCACTCCCCACCAGCTACGGAAGCAGCCGGAGCCTGCCTGGCACCCTTGGCCTCCGACACTCTTCAATAGGCTCATAGGCATCAATAGGTATTAGCCCAAGACAGCTGGGGCTTGTCCCCCTCTTCTTCTGGACACGGACATGTTGGAGAGGGGAGCAGTCCTAAAAGGGACCCTCATATGAACCCACCATCAAGAGTCCTAACTACAGCCACTCCAGAAGCCCTTGTGAATACCCGTACATGTTCAAATCTTGTGCATCAAACGACAGACACCCTCCTGAATCCACCCTGCTCCAAATTGATGGAGTAATTAAGTCTGTTAAGCGCTAGGCAAACAGTCGTCACGCTGTTGTTTAGGAACAACAAAACTCTACAGGAGCTTGGGTCAGCAAGACGGTTCTGCGGGTGTGGATGCTTGTGAACAAGACTGACAGCCGAGTTCAATCCTCAGGATCCACGTGGTAAAAGGAAAGAACCGACTCCTACAAGTTGTCCTTTGACCTCCACCAGTACACAAGCCTCACACACAAAAATAACCAAATACAAATGTACCTTTCAAAAAACTCTACATGGGGGCTGGAGAGACAGCTCAGTGGTAAAGAGCACTGGCTGCTCTTCCAGAGGACCCAGGTTCAATTCCCAGCACCCACATGGCAGCTCACAACTGTATGAAGATCCAGTTGCAGGGGATTTGACACCTTCACACCAGTGCACATAAAATTAAGTTAAATAAACCATAAAAAACACTTAAAAACAAAAACAAAAAACTCTACATGAGCTCAGCAGAGATGCAATTTTTTTTTGCCCTGAAGTTTTTTTCCCCCCCAAGAATTTCCTTTAAAATATTTTAAACTTATTATTACTATGTGCGCATGATGTGGATATGTGGGCATGGTCAGAGGACAACACTGTGGAGTCATTCTGTCCTTCCTCCTTCATAAAGGTTCCAGCAACCACAGGTCACCAGGCTTTTGAGGCAGGAGCCTTCACCCACTGAGCCATTCGCCAGTCAACACTATCACTGATCAAGACATCAATCGCAGCATTCAGCTGCTGTGCCCCGATATTCCCCACTCCCATTTAATGGGGGCATTCGTTCTATTATCTGAGTAAACTGGCTCAGAGAAGTCAGGGTGCTGCCCATGGCCACACAGCAGGTGAACAGGAGGCTGTACCAGGTAGCCTGATAGCTCTGGTGGTCAGCTTCAGTTGTCAGGTTGGCCCGTGGGTGTGCCTATGACGGATCTCCCTCTTAGTACAAGAGTCTCACATGCATGGAAGTCTATGCACCCACCACATGTGTGTGCCTGAAGTGTCAGAGAGGGGGTGGGGTGCTCTGGGACCGAAGGAAAGGAAGACAGTGTGCAGTGGAGCAGGCATGCATGTGGCCTGCTGGCCCCAGCCCCCCCCCCCCCACCCACTGCTGAGACTTATAGCAACAGCTGTGCAACCACGGACCACAACACACCCCTTCTGGCCTAAGTTGCTTCTGCAGAGTAAACTGTATTTTATCACAAGAGACCAAGAAAGCCATCCTTAGTACAGGAGCGTACCCCCACCCTGTTACCTGTATTTGTTTTTCTTCCTTGGTGTGAGGTTTGGGGTGCTGCCCCTGGAGGGGGTAGACTCACAGTCTCTCTTAACCAGAGAGACCTTTGGTGGTCCTGGGCCCACTCCTGCCAATCTGTCACAGTTCTGCACCCAGGGTGGGTCAAAGGCTGGTGGAGTGGGCCGGGTTCCTGTAGGGCTGCCAAACAGGGTCTCATCCACATAGGACGCCCTGGCCTTGACCCTGTAGCTGCTGGGGCTGCAGTGCTTAAGGTGGAGTGCCTGCATTCCACTGTGGGCCAGTTCCACCAGGATCCACGCTGCAGTCAGTGGTCAGGTCAGCCTGCTAGACTCAGCCTCCAGGGCTCCCTGTGCAAACGGTGAGAGTAAGAGCAAATAACAGGGCCAGATAAACAACGGAGGCAACCTGGAGTCTCAAACCCAGGGGCAAAAGGGAAAGGGGCTACCATTCAGGGGGCATCTTGAAAATGAATCACTTTCTTGCCCCTCCCCCATCTATGGTTTCTTGTCGCTCAAACTGGCCTGGAACTCACAATGTTCTATAGCAAAGAATGACCTTTAACTCTGATCCCTCCCTCTACTTCCCAGGTAGAACTGCACGACTGCCTGGCTTCTGAGTTTGAACCCTGTGGTCTGTGCAAGCTGCAGTCTAAGCAGGCACTCCTGTCTTTCTAGTTGACAAGACAGGGGAAAATGCCATCAGCAAATATTTAATGAATAAACAGATACACACTTTTAGCCTACAGTGTATACTCAACAAATATTTACAGGACGACTACGGGCGCAAATGGGGATGGCACCAATCAGAAAAAGAAACTATGGTGGGAGGGGGGAAAGGGGGCTCCCAAGCCGCTGTCGCCCCCACGCCTACCTTGTGCAAAGCACATTGCAAATGTACTGCGTTCTAGTCCTCGCCAATAGTCCTGTTCAGTCTCTTTAGATTAAATCCATTTTCCCGACCACAACTCAGGCTCCAAACAGCGGAGTACCGCGCACCAGTCACCCAACGAAGCTGAAAGCGCAGGCATCACCGGAACTCCGTGCTCAGCAATTTTCCTACCGGGGCCTCTGGTCAGCAAGCTCTGGCTCCAGTACAACCCCCCGCACAGCGCAGCACAGCACAGCGCAGCACAGCACAGCACAGCACAGCACAGCAAGCGCAGTGGCGCCACAGGACACGCGCCCACGCGCATCCCGCGCTGGGCAACAGGAGAGACGGCGCGCCCCTGCGCAGCTGGTACGTCCCTCGGCCCCGCCCCCGCGCAGATGGTACGTTCCGCAGGCCACACCCCAATCTCGTTGGTATCCTCCTTAGGCCCGCCCCTCGGGGGGTTCCACCCTGCATAATTGGTACATTCCTTAAATTCTTCCACCCGTTCAGTTGTGTCCCTCGGACTCGGCTCCCAATACAGTTGGTACATTCCTCAGAGCTTGATATTTGCAAAGCAATTACATCTTTTGAGCCTCTATTCCCGTTCAGTTGGTACATTCCTCAGGTCCCCCCACTATTTGGTCTGTCCCTCAGGCCCCGCCCCGTCGGTGGAGCCACGTTGACGCTCGGTTCCTCACGCAATTGGTTGGTTCCTTCAGGCCCCGCCCTGGGGGTGGAGCCTGATCGCAACGCTACTCGTGCGGCCCCCAGGCTCCGCCCCTGCGCAGTCTGTGCGTCCTGCAGGTCCCGCCCACTTCCGGGTCCGAGTGCCCGGCTCGAATGGCTGCCGGTAGAAGCGTGGGTTCCGGCCCGCAGTCACGTGCCGCCATGGCTCCGTGGAAGAAGAAGGGACTGAGGAAGCGCCGGACTGCGGCTTCCCAGGCACGCGACAGCGACTCGGAGGACGGCGAGTTTGAGATCCAGGCGGAGGATGACGCTCGGGCGCGGAAGGTAAGAGCACAGACTCTCGAGTCGGGCCCTCGGCCTGTGCCCTTCCGCCTGTCCGTCTCACTGATTGTGAGCCGTCATTGGGTCCCGTCTGGAGGGGGCTGGGCCCAGTTACCCTTCGGCCAATGGAAAGTGCAAGTGCGAAGGTCCGCCTGATTTTGGGGTGGTCTTAGGAGATAAGATGAATGAGAGGCCACCAGACCAGACCTCTTGAACTAAACTAGTACTTACGGACATTTGTGTGGTTCAGCCTTGCAGGCCCAATCAACAGTATCAGAGAAGGGACAGCAGGATTGAAAATGGGGACGGTCTGGTTACAAATGTGTGCACGTGGGGAGAGGCGTGAGCGCCAAGGAGGCAGAAAAGTTTATGGTTCGTGACTCCCATAGTCTGCACAGCGGATATATTCCTCCATTTCTCCTCCCCAGCTCAGTCATTGCGCTGCACTCAGAATGTGCAGAAACAGCTAAAGGCACTGAGAACGCAGTTAGTTGTTGCCGGAGAAGGCTGCCCACGTGGCTCGGACCAAGGGCTTTGCTGAGGCCAAGTCCTGCACTGGCTGTGGCACATAAAGAAAGAAGTTACTGCTCAACTTTTTACAAATCAAAACCCAGCCTGCAGGTTCCGGGCGTAGCTCAGTTGGTAGAACGCTTGCTTAGCATGTCCAAAGTGCTGGATTTGAGCCCCAAGACGACATAAAAGCAGGTATTGGGACACACACCCGTCATCCTAGCACCTTGGGTAGGAATGGTAGAGTCAAGAGGATCAGGAGTTCAAGGCCACTCTGGTAAGAGCTCCAATCCTGTAATTTTGCTTTACGAAAAATGTAGAAGGTCCTCCATCCTGGGATACAAACATACTTACTTATTAAAGGTATGTCACATCCTTGATGTAAATAGGGCTGGGAGAGCAGCCAAGTCCATACTGTACCATTGAGCTTGTTCTCACTACCCCACCCCCACCAAAAAAAAAAAAACACCAAACAAAACCAATGTGTTTGTGCAGTGAAACCAGAATACTGCATGGGAAGCAGAGTCCATCAACTTGGAATCAATGGGGAAAGTCTCTTCCTCCCTCCCCACCTTTTGTTTTAGCAAGGTTGGAGACCAAACCCAAAGCCCTGTTTGTGCTAGTGCTGGCCTTGTATATGCTCTGTCAGATAGCTATATCCCCGGGTCTCTTTCATGGAATTTTGGCGCTGTTGTCTTCAAACAAAGCGGGAAGGACCCCAAGCTGGATGCCTGAACTAGGAAGAAAAATTCCAACGAGCAAAGTTTAACAATTGTCAAGAAAATTTTTTGCCTTATGTTAAGTTTTTGTATTTATATATTTATTTGCTGTGTTTTGTTTTGAGACAGGGTTGCACTGTGTAATCCAGACTAGCCTTGAACTCCTGCCTCTACCTCCCAAGTGCTGGGATTAAAGGCGAGCACCACCACCATTCGTCATACTAAAAAAAGTGTTAGACAGGGTCTTGTGCAGGCCTGGGTAGCCTCAGATTCACTGTGGAGGAGAGGATGATTTTGATCTCCTGATTTCCCGGCCTCCTGAGTGCTGGGATGACTGGTGTGCCACCCCACTCTTTCCAAGGCTGGAATAAGTAGTGTGGTGACTTCCCTCAAAGGTTTTAGAATTTAAAAGTTACTTGATGAATTTCACCAAAAGAAATCCAGTGAAGGAATTGGCTGTAGCAACACACTCACCATCTCAGCACTTAGAAGATGGAGGCAGGAGGATTGGGAGTTCAGAAGGCCAGCCTGGGTAAAGGAGACCCTGTCTGGAAAAGACCAAAACAAAACAGAAAAGTTATACAAAGACACATAAAACATGTTATATATAAGTCAGAAAATAGGTTGAAAGGCCAGAGAGATGGCCCAGGAGGTAGAAGTGCTTGCTGATAAGCCTGGCAACCTGAATTTGATCCCTGGAACCAGGCTTGATGTAGGGGCAAAGAGATGGTTCATTGGTTAACAAACATTGGCTGATCTTTCAGAAGTTCCCTCATTTCCAAAGGACCTGACAACCTCTTCTGGTCTCCTTGGGTACTGCATGCACATGGTACACATAATCTACACTTGATCTTAGCCAAAAGGCCGAGAAGCAATTGGTGCACATAATCTATGCAGGCAAAACACCAATACATTTAAAAAGCCGAACACATGGCGCACACGTAATCCCAACAGGTGAGTCAGAAGGTGGAAATAGGAGAACCACTGAGAAGCGCACAGGCCAGCTACCCAGGAATGCACGACCAACAGAAACAAGAGACCCTGCTTCATCATGGTTGGGAGGGAGCAGACTCTTGAAAGTTGCCCGTGGCCGCCACACACCCAGGCCTTCACACCCATGGCATGTATCGTGCACACATACACTAATGATAAAATGTATAATTAGAACATAGGATGAGAACATAAGGTAGCACTTGTCCCGTGAGAACTCTGTTGAAGGAAATAGTTTATGTCTGTGTTCAGTGTAGTAGCCACCGAGCGTAGCATCATAAATACCTGTGTTTGTCTTCTGCCACCAAATCCCTGGTATTTAGTCACAGAATATGGGTTCATCTCATGTTTATAGCTACATGACAGTAGGCTTACAATTCTCTTCTGAGACAGATGAAATAATGAAACAAGATTCAAGACGAAAATGAGAAAGGAGTAGAAATAGGCTACTTAGGAGACTGAGTCACTAGGATCATGAGTTCAAGGCCAGCCTGGGCTACATACAAGGCTAGCCTGTGCAACTTAGTGAGACCTTGTCTCAAAAATAAAGAATAGAGCCGGGCGGTGGTGGCGCACATCTTTAATCCCAGCCCTCAGGAGGCAGAGGCAGGCGGATCTCTGGGAGTTCAAGGCCAGCCTGGTCTACAAGAGCTAGTTCCGGGACTGGCACCAAAGCTACAGAGAAACCCTGTCTCGAAAAACCAAAAAATAAAAAAAATTAAAAAAAAATAATAAAGAGTAAGAAGATGGCTGGGGTTTGGTTTGATGGTCAAAGGTTCCATCCTCGGCACCACCAGAATAACAAAAATATTTGGGGGAGACGGGAGTCTTAACCAGTGACATAAGAAATTTTATAAGTAATAGAAAAAAGAGATAAATTATTATTTTAAAAAAATTAATCAGAAATTGGAAGTAAGATCCAAGCATGGTGCTGTATACCTTTGATGCTAGCACTCAGGAGGCAGAGACAGGTGGGTCTTTCTGAGTTCCAGGACAGAGGACAGCCGTGGCCACTCCTCAGGCACACTCAAGCTACTACAACCACATACACACAAACACACACACACACACACACACACACACACACGTACCCTCTGCCTTCAGCATCTCTCCTGGCCAAGCCTATACTTTGCACTGGGTCTTCCCACACTCATGCCCTTGACCTCAGTTTTTAGAAGGTGCCCCCAGGCTCAGGGAGGTGGTTGTACTGCTGGTAGGGGATGGAGCTTGCAAGCACTGTAGATTTTCTGTAGACCCGATCTGTACCTCTGCCCCAGCCTGGTCCTAAGAGAGCTTGTTGGAGAACTGGCTAGCGTCTGGTCCTCGCACCCCTGTGGTCAGTCAGAGCTGGAGTCATGCCAACTCTCATTCTTCCCTCGCAGCTGGGCCCTGGCAGAGCCTTGCCCTCCTTTCCTACCTCAGAGTGCTTATCAGATGTGGAGCCTGACACCCGCGAGTTGGTACGAGCCCAGAACAAGAAAAAGAAGAAGTCTGGTGGCTTCCAGTCCATGGGTGAGTAAAGAGGCTGGGTACCTGGGGCCCTGGGGAGTAGCCTGGGGATGGGGATGGGGTCATTGTGCCCTCTGTTCTTAGGTACTGACTTCTACCTGTGTGCTAGGTGTCAAATAGGCTGAGGTTAGAAATAGTCATCCATAGCAGGCCTGGAAAGGGGGCCAGCCATACAGGCACAGGAGGTGGCAGAGGGTTCAGTGTCAAGACAGGAGGATACTTTTGAAGAGATGGGCATGAGATGATGGAGTGGTGTCGGGACACCTGTGTGGGGATTACAGCTTAAGTGCTCTGCCCTCGATGCACAGGGCAAGGATTGAGACACCCACTGAGTGACTTTTAATAGCAATTAAAAAAAGGAGCTGAGCATAGTGGCCTATGCCATGACTGCGTAGCAAGAGACCCTGTCTCACAACAGTCAAAAATATCTGCAGCCTCAGAAGGTTATCATCTACAGTATGCAAAGAGTTCTTACAAATCAATAAGTAAAGAACAAGCCCAGAAGGAATGGATTGCAGAGACTGAATAGTTGGTTCATAAAAGCCTTCTAGATGGCTATTTGGATTTAAAGCGAAGTTCTGGCTCTTGTTGAAAATCAGGAGGATGAAGCAGCGACATACATATAGGCATGATGAAGATGAA